AATCACAGCTGGGAGAAAAGTGGCACCGGTCAATTTTATAATTATGGGAGGTTTTATGATTCAGGCCAGATAATCCATGACTTTCTCTGAATTCTGAATGTTTTACAATGGCAGAGTGCTTAGTGTTTGACTGTCTCTGTAAGAGATCATGTATTTTACTTGTGCATGAAGAACAGAAAACAATTCACAAAATCAAAACCTCTGCATTATGAGTTAATTACGGTGCATTATGGTGGTCCTCAGCGGGACTCAGCGGCCTTGCAGAGTCCCAGGAAACTGAGATTTTTAGTCACGTAGAGTCCTGCGTCTCTTCTAGTTCAGTCATCCTTCTGCCTGTTCTCAACAAATCCCTTCTTGTCCAGGGAGCTACCAGCCAGCAAGGGAGGGGGCCCATGCTTTACTCTGAGCCCCCTGGCTTTTTTTATTTGAATCAGCTGATTTTTTTTGTTTGTTTTTGAGAGAGAGTGAGAGAAAAGAGAGAGGCAGAGCACATGGGGAACTTCACACGGTCCTTGCAACAGAGCTCAAAGCTTCTGGCTGTGCATGGGTTTGCATTTGCCATACTGTGTAATAGGTATTATTTCACACTTGCTGGAGAAAATCTGGCTATAACTTAGGCATTAATTCTGTGGAGCATTTTGTAGCAGATTGTCGGGAAAGAAAAGAGAAATGTAAAATAAGTCTTGTTTACTATAGATGATGATGTGGCAAAATAACTCAACAGCCAGTTCTCAGGAGTTTATGACAATAATCATGAATATGTTTTATAAATGTGTAGCAATGTGAGTGGACTCAATTCTGGCTGAATTTAAATAATATGGCTTTGTGCAGCAAAGCCTAAATCAAGTGGCTATAATTTATGCTGAAATGTACTACAGGATGCATTTATTCACAAGTATGTGCTGATTGTAGCATTGTGCCTGATTTATGGTGTTTTACTTTTTCATACGAAAATCCCTACCAAAAATAATATTTAGCGTCTCCTTTTATTTACTGAGCCCCAGCAGTTCTCTAGGCACGGTGGCGGGGGATCACTTATCTTCCTCCTCAGCAGCCCGTGAGGGGCTGGGCACTGCCTGCAGCCTGGGTGCTGTGCAGGCAGAGCCGTGCCGCGGGTGTGCTGTGGTTTGGGGCCCCTGACACGTTTGGTGCTGCACAGGGAAGCCAAGGCCGGTGGTCAGTGGTGTGGCCAGGCTGGCTCGCTGTGCGCTCAACCACCCCAAGGGCTCTGCAACAGCCCAGCTTCTCGCTTGCTTGCAGTCATCACAGGCAGCGCTGGAGGCTGGCATCCTCCAACAGCCTTCTGCTTGGTGCCCGTGCTCTTCTGATGCTCCCCAAAGTGACTTGTGTTGGTGCTAGGCATCATGTCAGGGCCCCTGCCAGGTTTGGTGGCAACGTGGCCACCCGTGCCATCAGGGAAGCTGGTGGCTACCTCCATGCTCAGGCTCATCGCCCCCTGGCCAGCCTGCCCTATGGAGGGTCTTTGACAGCCATTCGTGACCGTACAAACTCCTCTCCCCACTGGTCTCATTCAGCACCTTGGTAATGCTCAGGAGTTAGAATAAAGCTTGGATAGACAGCGGCAAACTGACATTTCCTGACTTGAAAGAGCTTGACCCTGTGGCCCGAGCAGAGTTCTTTCAGCTGACGGTGTGCGTGTAATGTTTTAATTGCGTGTGACAATACCCCTGGCACAATTAAGCTGGGAAGCTTCATTTATCACCACTACCAAAGGCAAGTGTCAGCCTGTGAGCACCCTTCTCTGTGTGTAATTTTTTGGAAGTCACAGAAGAGGTTTCTAAAGGCAGGTAACTGGAAAAGTTTGGGTGATATTCCTGGACTTGTAGAATTGCCTAGACAAAGTGCCATATCTCTGGCTCTGCTAGAAAAATACATAATTCAGAGGCTAAAAGAAAGATTTATTTAAAGCATTTGAAATCCCCAAATAAATCATTTCGTATCATAATAGAACCCTAACCATCCTGGGAGTGTGTACATCCATTAGAAGAGAGTTAAGATCCAGCCTTACTTTCTTTCTGGGTTAAAATCAGTTGTGCTGAAAGTTTATCAGTGATTTATTCTGCAGGAGCGACTCCATTTGTAATTCTCCTTCCTGAAAGTTTCAGCACCATTGTTTTTAATGATAAGAACTTGTTGTAGCAACCCCTGTCCCTAAACACTTGGAAATTCTTGTTTAAATAAACATGCAACTTGCAAGCAACATGCAGCTTCAATGTGTATCTTATTAAAAGCTGGCACGATCGGAGGCTCCCGGCTTTCTTGCCAATGTTTGGAATACAGTAGCATTTTTACCCTGTACCAATAAATTTCTGTGCAATGAAAGGCCATAATATTTGCTGTTTTAAGGGAAAACTCTGCTTAGTTAGGTGGAGAGGTGGAAAATATTCCTAATAAATAGGATCCAGAATGAAGCAGGTAAATATTTAGGTTGTTAATGTTGTGTCTGTCTTACACAGGGCAAAAGCTCCCACCCTTGTTTTGGAGGAGACATTTCACAGCATTTCCAGAGAGGTCTCACAGTGAGGCATCCGAGGAGCAATTGACTTGAAATGTACCCAGAGCTAGACTGGGAATTTCCTCTTGTCCCTTGCAGAACAGTACAGAAGGAACCCAGGTTAACAGCTGAAGTTTTCTAGCAGACAATTGCACCATGGAGCTTTCAAACAAATATTTCAGGTGCCTAGTCAAGTCTGACTTTGTGCTTGCAAGGAAGGAAGCTGGCTGGGAGAGCAAAGCTGGGGGAACGTGAGGGAGGCAGAGCAAGCCAGGGCTGCAGAGACCGAAGGTGAGGATGAAGAAATCTTGCAGCCTTCACAGGACAGGCAGATGGACTGTGGCTGCTGTGGTGTTGGAGTGCGGAGACAAGCAGCAGGTCCTGCGGCTCTGCTCCCTGCACCTCTTCCAAAAGGCCACAGTGGTCCCCGGGCAGTTTTGCTGGTGGCAGGCGCCCAGAGCCAGGTTCTCTGTGCTGGAGTGGTGGCCAGGAGCCTGCAGCTGGGAGTGCTGGTGCCTGAGGGGCTTGGAAATGAGCTTCACGTTCTGGGGGTCTGACTGTGGTGGTGCCTCCCAGCACACGGCCAGCGGCAGGGGTGGCTGTCCCCTCTGAGCCAAATTCCGCACACAGCGGGCTCGTGGCAGCAGAGCTGCGGCCGCCGAAGGAACTTCTGCTGTCTTTAAGTTAGTCTTCTCTAATTAGTTCACTATTAATTAAGGGGCTCTGATGTTATGATGTGAAAATTAGCTGGCAAACCAGTCTGCCATTATCCAGAATTTGCAGAATTAAACTCTGAATTCCAAAATAACTTCTTCATTAATAATTTTGATTTTCCAGACATTACACAGAAACACACTGGTGATTAGCAGAAGTATGATGTGTTCTCATTCACAGTATCCCTAATTAGTAGTAATTTAGTTATTAACTCTTTGGTGCAAACGAGCGGGGACAGAACTGGGGAATGCTGGCTTCCTTCTGCACCGCAGCGTTCCCCCTGTCCCCCGAGGGCTGTGACTCCTGACGCAGAAGCCCCCCTCTGCTCTCGCGGTGAACGGGGTGGGCTGGGGGGCTGCCACCTCAAGGTGTGTGTGTCTCACCCACCCTGCAGCAAGCAGGGGGAAGGCATGGCCAGGGACCAGCTCTGCCCTGCCACAGAGATGGCTTCCAGTCCCCAGCGCAGCACTGCGGCGGTGTGCAGGATGTCCCCTCCTCGCCGCACAGCCACCACCGGGGCTGCTCGGCAGTGGGCTGAGGCATTACCTGCTTCGTTCATAACTCAGGGAGAGTTCAAGTGGGCAGGAAGCTGGCCCTCTGCCTGGGAGAATTTGTCACAAGATTAGAGAATTAATGGGAAAATACAATATATTAAAGAATGAGAGATTTTGCTAACCTCTTACCTTGTCTTAGCCTTAATTGCCTTTAAAAATCACAGGATACAATGAATTACCATTGATTTTTCTCAATAACGTTTATTTCTGCAAAAGCCAGCTGAACTGCGGTGAGAGGCCGTAGTTCAGAGGGAGCTGCCAGCCCTGCGGGGTGGGCTGGGTGCACGGGCCTGGGCACTTGGCAAACGGGACGGGATGGTGCCAGGGGCAGGCCCCGAGCCCCATGGGTCCCCTGGCCCCACTGCAGTGCCCAGGGGCCAGCGGGGTGTGGAGGAGAGCCGGGAGGTCTCTGGCCCTGCTCCCTGTTAACGCATTTTTATCTGACACGCACCTTAGAAACGAGCAGTCTTGGGAGGTTCAGTGGGGCAGGTCCGGACTGAGAGAGAGCATGAAAGATTTATAAAGCCTTTTTGGTGGCAATCGATACTGCTTCTTATTACAGCTGCATTCTTCCAAACTCGCCCTCGTTGTTCATTTTTCCACCTCTTCTAATCTGACCAAAAATGAATGGATGAAGTACCAGGGAGGGGCCTGCATGGTTGAGAGATACCAGTTCAAGAGCTAAGCCTGGTAATTAATCCCTTCATCTGATTCCTTCCACTGGCGAGGGAGTTCATTGCTGAGCTACAGCATCCATCAGTACTTACACACTGTGTGCCTGCGACCTGCAGCCGTGGGTCGTGCCCAGCTGTGCTCGCGGCTACTGCTCAGCGGTCCTCGTTCAGAGAGCTGGCGCTGTGGGGACAGCGGGCACGTAGTGGGAACGACGGAGCAGAAAGTGAGAGGAACCATGGGAACACGGGTCGTGGTGTCAGGCTGCGCGTTCAGGCTTGCTGTGAAGTTCCTGGTGAATTTCACACAAAAATTGCAGAAATCAGAGAAGAATGTTCCCATGGCTTTTCAGTGGTAGGGAGGAGGTTCTGCCGGCAGGAAAAACAGCATGGGAAAATGCAGGAAGGCATCTGCAAATATACCAGGCAGTGAGAAGAGCCGGCACCACCGGCTCCTGGGGAGCGAGTGAAGATCTCACAGGGAGAGATCATTTGGCTGCTAACAGCCCTGAAGTGTTCAGTAAATGTTTCTCATTTTCACTGCAGTTTTAAAAAGCCTTTCATGGCCATGCAGTATAACATACAACCTCACTGAGGAGGATATTCACTGACAGACCTTGGGAAGGCCACCAAGATGGACCTTTCAGGAGCCAGACAACAGATGCACTTGAGCATTTTAAAAGAGCAGAATGAAATCCTTCCTGGACTATTAACAGTAACGCTGCGTACTCAGTGCACTGAGAACATTCCAGAGGAGAAGAGTTTGTGCCAGAATTTGCAAAACATGACGAGGGTGAGCTGAATTGCTAGAGGTTTGTCAGCTGGCAGCTTCAGACAAAACCATTGATAGGCAGAATTGAAGGTGTAAAAAAAAAAAAAAAAAAAAGAAACACATCGGGAGGCTGCAGGCAGTGCAGCAGGTCCAGAGCAGAGGCACTAGGTTGAACTTGAGGCTGCAGCCGGTGTGTACGATAAGGAGAGATGTCAGCAGTTCTCTTGTGTTAGATGATTTGGAGGAAGGCAAACAGAGGCAGGTGAGGAGTCTCCAGGTTGCTTTGTGGGAAACACTCCTTATCACAGAGGAGTCCTGTCTACACTTCAAGCACAGACATGGGATTTGTATCAGGGACCAACACAGAAAAGCCCTCAGGTCTGATCTCCTACTTAACACAGGCCAGATGAGCACGAGGATCCCTGTGGCCTTAAATGTATGATCTGTTATTAGAAAACACCTGGCAGCTTGACTGGCATCACTGGGAAGGGACAGGGGTAGGAGCTTTTTTGAACTGAAGCTCTGCTCCCATTGCCTTGCACAGGGGTAGCCCCAGGCAAAGACTAACCTCAGAGTTTGCTAACCTTGCACACAGAGGCACGTACTGTGCCCAGAGCATGGCTTTTTGAGTAATGAATAGCAACAGGATAAGCTCACGTTTTCAGTCCCAGCCAGCCAGCATGGTCTTGTGTGTGCCCACCTGATGGCTTACCTGGCTCCTGGACTGGGAAATCTCACAGTGACATGCCTGGAGAGCCTCCGCGTGTGACTGCACTCCCCGCTCACCACAGCCCAGCAGCAGCTCCAGAATCACCTTGCTTGCTACGCTGTATGCTGCCCTCCCCACACGGAGCCTCTGCTGCCTGCTAGATATTCATGGTGGCTGCTTGGAAAGCCACAGTCATAATGGGATCATTTTCCTGCAAGCTGTTTCAGAAGACATCATCCAGCCAGTCATATTTCTGTGCAGCATCTGTCAGGCTTCTGCACTTCAGCAAGCTTCAGACAGGACCATTTATAGTTTCAATAATGGTTTATTCAAAGACAGGTTATGATAACTTCAATCTCTCTGTTTTGCAGATATGATGTAATTTGAACATGTCTATGGAAGTTTGAATGAAGGAATTGTCCTGTGTATATGATGAATATTCTAATTGAGAATAATATTCAATAAAGGCCAAGACAGGTGCTTTCTCCTTCTTGGGATTCCTAATTGCTGATGTGTGACCGGAATTTGTATGTCCTCTTAAACACCTTTCCAGTGGTTTCCCAGATTTATTACTGTTCCATACTACTGAACATTTGCATAAAAAGAATTTAAATTAGCCTTTGCATTGGTATTTGATATGGCAGATCTCACTGCCACATGCAAAGAAGGCACCAGTCAGAGGGCAACTTAAATTTTTCTCTGGTTTTGGAAATACCTTGGCTCCCTGCATACAGACAATTCAGAGTTGTCCTGATGCAATGGTTACTGCTGACTTCTTTCTGGCTTGCTTGGGTAGCTAGATGTCTGCAGAATTCCTTCCATAGTCCCTAGAGGCAAGCAAAAGTGTTTTGGAGTGGAAAAAGGATTGCGGAGATTCTTAAGGAAATGTAGAGATCTGGTTATTGATGCTGCTGGAGAAGGGGCAGACCCCACTGACTTCCATCCTCAGAAGTGCTGACCCAAAAACTGGTGTCCTGCAAACATCTATTACTGTACTGGCAACAGCTGGAAAATTGCAACTGATTTTAGCACAATCTAGATTTTGCCCATGACTGTTTCTTTGGGAAATGTCACCATGAAAGCACAGCAGAGACGGAGATGAGCACAGCCCTGCCCTGCTTCTCCTTCTAGAGGTCCCTCCGGACAGCCCAGGCACTCTCCTCTGTGCCGCTGTTTGACTGAGCTATTTAAAAGCATGGGCTGGAGCCTCTCGGTCTCCTGGTTTCTTGGCCTCCTTTTCTCCACCCACCCTGTTGGTTTCTCTCATTTTTCTGGCTGTTTTCTTCATTTGCAAACCTCCATTTCGCAGTTTTTCCCTGCGCTCTTCCAGTTCGCCCTGCAGTTCTGCTGACTGTGCAGGCGAGTCCAGGACCCCTGCAGACCACCTGGGAAACAGGAAGCGGTCTGAAGCTCTGGATTAACTGAGAGATTGCACTTAGTTCCCCCTTGACTTCTCCATTTCCATCTCCCGGTCTGATTGGGGGCCTTTAGTCCTAGCAGTCGGAATCCTGCTCACACTTGAAGTGGCTTGAGGAGAGCTGGAGAGCCTCGCACACCAAGCAGTAAGTGGAGAAACCTGAGACATTCAGGTGCTCGTACAGGCCTTCTCCCTTCACTGAGGTCTGATCTGACAAAAGCTCGGCTTTCTGAGGCCCTGCAGTGCAGTGGTAGGGCTCCCGAGGCAGCTCCTTGGTGGCCTTGAGCCTGCCCTTGCTGGCACAGGGCGCACGAGATGGTTCTCAGCCGGCTGAGTGGAACCCTGCACAGACACAAGCAGCGTGTTGATGGCTCTGGGTGAGTTTCCCCAAGTCCCACGTGAAGAACAGAGGTTACACCATCAACTTTAGACAATCGAAGTGTAAACTTAGGGTTTTGCATACACTGAGGATCTGACAATACTTTCCCGGTGCCCATCTTTTTGAAGAGCCTCTGGCCCTCAACTGAGTGCAGCCAGGGGCTGTCCAGGGCCTTCCTGCAGCTGCTGCTCCCCTGGCTGGAGCAGGGTCCTTGGCCACTTCCCCAGTCCCCATCCACAGCATGTTTGTGCATCCCTGTCACTGCTGCCGGAGCCACAAGAGTGAAACCTCATCCTCTGGGTGGCTGAGAGGTGTCGGGAATTGCTGTTGCATCTGCAAGGTGAGTCTGGCTGCGCTGCCTTTGAAATACTACCCTCCTGCAGCAGTGGCTGGGAGAGCACACAAAATGAAGCGTATTTTGAACCAAGTGAGGGACCTGGTGGGATGCATGGGCCATGTGCAGGTCTCTGCAGTGGAAGTGCCTTCTTTTCCTGTGCGGTTCTGGATGCTCCTGCCCCCTCCAGTTACCCTGCCAGACTGGCAAAGGCTCAGATGCACACAGGTACGTGTTTCTAGCTGAGCTGGGACAAAAAAAAAAAAAAAAAAAAAAGCTGTAGGAGGGGAAGCAGAGGGGTGAGATGTCTGCGTCTCCTGCTGTGGCATATATCCTCTGGGTGTACATCAATGGTTTGTTTCTGCTGCTCATTATGTGACAGAGCTGGCTGCTACCGCAAGTCGTTGAGGCTTTGGAAGGCTCATTTGCAGGGCCCTGCCTCGGTGGGAGGAGATCTGGGAGATCTGCAGGAAGGCAAGCAGGGAGATGGTGGGACCACTGCCCCTGTGCTGTGCCCAGCTGTCCTGCTGTGAGCAGGACAGGGTATCACAGATCAGCCACGGTGTCACTGGGGTGGGACAGCTGTGTTTAAACCCAGAACAGGAGGCTCCTGCCGAGAGGCTGCACGCTGGAGCTCCCCGGCTGCCAGGATGAGCTGGGGCGCGTGCCTGGGCAGCACGGCCCAGCCTGGTCCGAGTGCCTGGTCCTCCCCGGTGCCTGCAACCCCAGCAGTAAGTTAATGAGCAGTAATTAGAACGTCCAAAGGAGCAGGATTTCTTGATTGTGTGCGCACTAAGGGGAAGCGGAGCCAAACGCAAATCAAACCAAACACCTTGCCAGCCTGCCAGAAGTGTGCGAGGGGCTGGAGGTGCCGAGCAGCCGGCTCCGGTTAGAGGAGATGGCCCTCTTTCCCATTCATGTATTTTGTATTATAAAATGACTGTGGTTGTCATAGCAACATAAAGGGAGCAGATCTCATTACTGAGGCCTGGCCACATTATTTTCTCCAAGGAATTTCTTCTTTTCATTATTTTTCTCCAAAGGTCAGTTATCCTCTGAGGCAGGGCGGGAGATTCTGCGAAAGGTGAAGCATATTCATGGCAGAATTCCCCTGGTGGAATTTACAATCATTTTGCTTTTTTATACTTGTAGAAAGATTTCTTTTAGTATAACATTTTCTTTTAACCCTTTCTGTGTTCTGCACATAAAACCAGGCTAGTGACTAAGAAGCTTTGCGCTGGGATTTTCCAGAGAAAGTGGAGAATTAATGTCACATCATGCTTTTATTAGAACATAAACCAAAGTGTGTCGTACTACATACAAACATTTCTCTGAATTTTGTTTGCCTTTAGCAGTTGTGCAAAATGTAAGAACTCTTTCAAACTTTGTTCTGAATCTGTTTCGTTTCTCACTGTAAAGCCGTCGCTGTCAGCCGTGAGCCAGCTCAAGTCGTAGGGGGCAGGCTCAGAGCGTCCTGTGGGTCTGGGATCTGGAGGCTCTGTTTGTAAGTCCTCTGTCCTTATCTAGCTTAGTCAAAGGGAGCTTTATCCCTGTGAATGCTCAGGTGCTCAGCTCAGCTGGAGATGCAGAAAAATGTGAGCACAACCACGGCGTTATGTGCCGGCTGAGCATGTCAGCATGACCCGCCGAGAGCGGGCAGCCGAGCAAGCGGCTGGCTTCCCTCACCCGCGGGTTGCTGTTGCTGCCTGGAGTAACTTCAGCCTGCAAGTCAACAGCACTGCTGCAATTCTGTGCCTAAGTGTAACCTGACCAGTTGTGACTGCTGCATTTCGTCAATTTCAGAATTTCACACAAACACCCTGGTTCCTTTTCAAATAAATATTTCCCATTACCTTGTTATTAAAGCTTTTAAACAAGCATTCCAAGTCTAGCTGCCAACACATATTTTCTAAATATAATCTAAAAAAGGAATGATAATACTTAGCCAAAGAAGGAGGAATGCAAATTGTACCTCTCTGGTGTTATATCCATGAGGTAAGGCAAGAGACCTCTCCAGTACATTGCTTATGAGGTTGCCAAGGATAAAGAAGCTTTTCCAGCTTTGTATAGTTTTTAAGGATCACTTGTCCTGAGATATGAGATGGAATCAGATGTACTAAAGGAGGGAGTGGTTCTGCATTTTCTTATAGTATTCAAAGATCCACAGTATCTCAAAAGTTTTGTGAGTATGTATGTATTTTGTGGCATATAGATGTGTACAGAAATAATGTCTTGTACTTGTGTTTACATATATTGGAAAATAATTGTTAAAAATGTCTTGTATTCTACTCACACCTGCATCACATGCACGTTATTAGTTCTGTGTGCTCAGAGGGCAGCGATCTCAGGTCTCCAGCATGCAGGAGGCTGGCCCACCCAGCTCCAGAGCACAGTCTTAAAGAAGTAATTCAGTTTGATATCCTGCTGTTATTTTTAATTTCTTTGATTTAACATGGGTAAGCTTAACGGTTCTAATATAACACTGAAACACCATAGAAATTTATCATGTCTCTTCTCTCTTACAAGGAAGACAGTAGAAAGAACTAGCAATAGGTAGAAGAGAGGCTGTGGAGAGCACATGGTCATCAAGTCTTTACTAGGTAGTGGAAATCTGCCCCCAAAAATGATCGCTTTTTTCTATAAACTTCAGTCATGCCAGGATTTCTGAGAATGATTTCTTAGTGCGCAGCAGAGCACAAGTGTGCGTTCAGTGGGCAGCCCAAAGCATTAAGCAGAAGAAGAGCTGGGGAAGGCAGAAGAGCCTCGTGTTGGAGACATGCAGGATCTGGGTGCAGAAGCTGGACGGGAACTGGAGCAGTGGCTGGCCTCACAGGGTTCCCGCTGCTCCGGTGGGCTCTACCTGCAGCTTCCCAGGCAAAAGATCCCCACCCTTGGCTCAGAGGGCTCATCTTGTCCTCTGTCTGCTGTCTTTGCGAAGAGCTACTCCTGCTTCCATCCACCTGATCCGCAAGGCTGCACGGCCACAGCAGTGCAGTGGCCCCTTGGTGGCTGCTGTGGAGCGCACGTGGCCAGAGGGGCTGTGGGTGGTGCCGAGCCTGGAGGCCCGGGGACAGAGAGGCTTTGCCAAACACGCCAGCGTTTGGAAGCTCCGGGATCTCTCACAAAGCCTGTGTTAGAGATACTGTCCTCACAATCCTCTTAAATGGTATCCTTGGCACTGTGATGAGCACATTACAAGTGTATGAAATCTCCTTTTCTGCAAGGTGGAAAGGAGCCGGGCATTTCGGAGGCTTCACAGCCTTTCCTGCTCCGTGGAGTTAGCCTGGCTGCTTGCTCCTGCTTTGTAGAGGGGAGGCTGGGGCAGAGGAGCTAATAATGCTAACCCACTCCAAAAGGGGTCTTTTAAAAATTAA